ATCCTGCTTGGTTCTTCAGGGTAATTATATAATGCCACAAGGGGGTCATCTTCCCTACTTCTGACTATCTACCTAAGAGAAAGAAGAGTGATATTAGTGAACTGGCATGGAGGCTTGGCTTTGGTTTGTGTGAGAGAGCTAACTAAAGCTAAAGTGTGAAGCCTCTCTGTGTGGTTCACTGACTACTAGACAAACTCCTGTAGACTAAAGAGGCTAACTACTAGCTGCTAACATTGTTCTCTTCCCCGGCATCGCACCATTAAAATCGTTTATTTTCTCTGATATAAATCTGTGGTATTTTAGGGCTTAAACCCTTTAAAGACAGATTAATGGAGATCTCACTCTGAACAAAGGCATTAATATGACCTTAAATGTTTAAACTGATGGATTAATTCCCCATTTGTTCAAGCATTGCTTTAGAACTGCTACAGAAACGTTAGCTGACATTTCAACTCAGAACTTTGCAGAATCACAGAAAAGTCTTTACATTTTTCACATTCTCTTATGTTAAGACTGTCAACTTCTGTGTTTAATTGGATATCTATAGCTATAAACAAATAGCTATGTTTATAGCTATTTTTAGTATTTCAGACTTTGACATTGGGCTGCTCTGGAACCAGCAAAACAAATTTCATTTCATGTTATCCCACATGTTAAAATGACAAAACTCCTTGAAGTGTGATGTTGAAATAAATATTGTTTCCATTTGAATCATTTTAGTATTGCACTGTTTTAACCTGGTTTGCTAGAAGTAACCTGTTTTGCACACAGGTTGCCCCTGTTTTAATCCCCACTGGTGGGGATAAGCTGCAAATGAGGGTCCTTAGGCAAGACCTTTCATGCTAATGCTCTGGATAAAAGCATCTGCTAAATGCATAAATATAAACATATTCGTCACTCTTTGGGCTGAGGAGCAATGAGGAAAGAAATAAAGGTAGAAACTAGAAAAGGAAGGTAATGTGCCTGTGCTGTATATCTTTTAAAAGTCAAATGTTTAATGTATGATGATTGAAGTATTGTGTAAAATTATAACAGAAATATGTTCAAAAACTGATTTTCCTGAACATGTGAGGCGTTTTCACCAGCATAATGTGAGTCATTGGGTGTCTTTTTGGAGGCTTAGACTTAGAGACTGAGACAGATTTGATTTATATTTTGTTTACACGAGTGTGAAACAAAAATACATTTTGTTTGGAACTGCTCTCTGGACAATTTCATCTTTTTTAAATGTGCAGCCTTGAAAAATAGTAAAAAATAAAATAAATATATAAAAACAGTAATATAAACATATGACTTCAAAAAAAATTCTAACATTTTTTATCTATCTATCTATCTATCTATCTATCTATCTATCTATCTATCTATCTATCTATCTATCTATCTGTCTATCTATATAGATATATATATTATTAAATATGAAACAATCATTTGAATTAAATTGGAATGTCTTTTGAGACAGCTTCAAAAGAAAGATTAAATAAAAATCAAGTTTATAATGCCTGTAATGTCTGACGGGAGAACAGAGATAAGTGGGCTGGTATAGATGGAAAAATACCAGAACCAAAATTTGTTCTCAGTCTGAGCCTGATACTGGATCTTTGAGAAATGTTTCCATTTTGACCCCCGTAAAGCAGAATCTGCAGGGTTACAGTTTGATCCTGATAAAAATTTTAAGATCTCAGTCAAACATTTTGTCATAAATACTTTGAAATCTGCTGTTTTATTTTTTATGTATTCCAATACAGATACTATCTGTCCACAATACTAAATCCTGTTGTTCAAAGTGTAGCACTTTCCTTTACAAAGCATCAATGCAATAGATCAGTTAGGGTGCCACAAGCTCCATTCTAAGTATGGTGATTGGTTTCATTGTTGTCATTTCCTTATAATAACGGCACTGTGCTTCTGATGGTGCTCATTTTGCAACAGCAGGCTATGTTACTACACCATAGCCATCTTGACTGGCATCACAGAAGCGGTGTCATTGAGCAGTTATTACCTTGCCAAAGTCCACAGGTTTAACACATCTGTAGAGCCAAAGTTATCCAGTAGATGGAGCCCTTGTATCCAGTGCAGCCATTCTTTGCAGACTGCTTCAGGTATGAGCTAAACCCACCCACTTGTTCTTTGACACAGGCCCCTCAAGATTGGATTCAACTGGACTTAACACACTAACAGCACTTTACAGAGACAATTAAATTAGATCCTACACTGGTTTAAAGTTTTCTATCTAATGAAAACCAGCTGATTGCTTCCAGATTCCTAGATGAACATGTTGAGACCGTAGAAAAGAAAAAGCCTTCTTATTACTCTTTAAATACAGTAGAAAGCGGCTGGAGTACTAGTTTACCAATTCCCTGTAGTCAGGTTATTTTCTTTTATC